GCAGTTGTGTTAACAAACTGTGTGCTCCTGGTCAGTCCAGCTGTACTCTTCATTTATCTCATCTATGATCACTCTGATCAACAGTATTTGATCAAACTAAGTTACTCCAGTTCCTAATTGGATATTTGTGGCTTCTAAGTACTTAGTCAAAAAAGGAGAGATGAGAGAGAGCTGAGCCTGTGGGTGAGCAAGACAATGAATATGAACATGAGCCAGCAGTGTGTCCTGGTGGCCAAGAAGGCCAATGGCATCCTGGCCTGTATCAGGAATGGTGTGGCCAGCAGGAGCAGGGAGGTCATCCTTCCCCTGTACTCGGCACTGGTGAGGCCACACCTGGAGTGCTGTGTCCAGCTCTGGGCCCCTCAGTTTGGGAAGGACGTTGAGACGCTTGAGTCCAGAGGAGGCAACAAGGCTAGTGAGGGGCTTGGAACACAAACCCTGTGAGGAATGTCTGAGGGAGCTGGAAAAAAGGAGACTCAGAGGTGACCTTATCACTCTCTACAACTCCCTGAGAGGTGGTTGTGGTCCGGTGGGGGTTGGTCTCTTTCTCCAGGCAGAAACAGACAGAACAACAGGACACAGCCTTTAGCTGTGCCAAGGGAAATACAGGTTGGATATTAGGAAAAATTTATTATGGAAAGAGTCTAAAGTACTGGAATTGTCTGCCTAGGGAGCTGGTGGAATCACCATCCCTGGTGACTGGATGTGTTTAAAACAAGACTGGATGTTGCACTTGGTGCCAAGGTTTAGTTGAGGTGCTGGGGCATGGGTTGGACTCAATAATTTTGAAGGTTTCTTCCAGCTAAGGGATTCTGTGTGTGATTCTCTGTGTGTGAATAAAAATTTCTCTATTAATATCAGAAAATAAATATTCTAGGAGAGTATTAAGACAAAGAAAATGCTTCTCAAGAAAAAGAAGAAAAAAATGAGGGAAGGGTGGAAGGGAGGAAAAAAAGAGAATGATGATGGAATGTCTACAGAAAGTACTAACATAGTTGGTTGACCAGAGAAATGATTGGATCAGCAAAGGGAAGAGAGGTCATGCTATAAAGAGGAAAATAGAAATAACAAAAGAAGAAGGAAAAACTAAACAAATTTCACAGTGACTGGAAGTAGAACTGAAGTTTAGTAAGAAGGGAAAAGCATTATCATACCGGAAAGAGGGACAAGGAACTGGAAATGAGTAAGAGAAGGTCAAAAGAGAAAGAAGGGATAAAAGAAAAAAGCTAGATAGAGGGAAGAACAAAGTAGCTAATGTTTGGCTGATGGATATGTTTTTTAGTGCTTTGGCCACTGTGAAATTATGAAAGTGAAAACCCAGGAGCTACTGTGTTATACATTCTGTTGTATAAGCTAGAGCTGGAAGATAAACACCATGTACATGAAAACAATGAGAGCTTGCACTGAAGTTTACCTCTTTTCCTACATCTATTTGATTTACTCTGGATTTGCTAACTTAATTTCAAGGGATGAACTATAAGGTGAAACTGCAAGATGAGTTAGCCTGCTCTGGTGCATGTTAGCAGCCTTCTCCTGACTCTTTAGAAGGAATTTAAATGCAATAGTTAGTGTCTTTTGCCTGCATGAGAAGAGGCTGCTCCAGGTCCAATATAAGGCACAGGAAGCACTTTGGAGGCAGACATTGTTTAAGATGTTTCTTCTAGAAAAACAGAGGTTGTTGGAATGTTACTCAAATAAACTTTCCAATTTTAATTTCCAGAATCTCTGGTTTCAGGTTTGGTCTTCATCTGAGGCTCACATAGAAAGACTTGTTTAGAAGGAAGTTTGAACATTTACTGTGTTAGAAAATATGATGCCTTGCAGCCTTGACAGTCTGTTTCCAGAAGACTAGGAGAAAAACAGGTAGTGTGAAGTTGGGACTATGTCAGTTCAATACTATTGAAAGGTTAATTTTAATAAAAGATATCAGCCAGTGGAGAGAAAGATTTTCATCAGGTAGTCACCCTGCCCCCTCTCCTGCATAGCACATATCCAGCTACAGGAAACAAGGAAGGAAGTCATCTCAAGGGGGAAGTGAACAGAGAGATTTATTTTCTGCTGTGTTGAACTTTGCCATGTTAAAGCATCCTGCCATCTAATGGAGTTCCCAGTCCTGATTCGGTCACTTCTCAGGGGCTCCCTATGCAGTGAACAGGAAGGGGTGGATATGAAGAATCAAATTCATGAAAGCAAAATGATGACCTTTTTAAGGAGAAGGTTTTATTACTAGCCCAAATAAATATTGCATTATGTCATATAGATTCACGTGATAGACTGAGAAGGTTCTGCTGCAGGTCACCTAACAGCCAGGGGTGCTCTCTGGGGAACCAAAAGATGCGATCTAAGGGCCAAACAGGAAGGAAAGATTTAAAGCTGTACATTTCACAATCCAAATTAATAGAAAGCCAGACTCCTCAGGTAAAAACGTGGATGTAGTGACTCTTCTGTTCTCTTTTCCTGTGTTTCCCAAGCCTGATAGACCCAGTCCTACTGGTGACATGAATAGAGGAAGACTAACCTGTGACTATTTAATGCACAGACAGTGAGCCTAGGTGTTTTGGTCTCTATGGATTTAGGAGTTTCTTGCTTTTCAAGGTGTCAGGGAAGCTGACAGGATTAGACAAGGTGATACAGTGTTATTAGATACCAGCTATACCTACCTATATGCTGGACTCTGGTGCCAAAGGAGGTGTTGTGTTCTTTAAATTCCCTTTATTAATTGAGCCCCATGTCCTGTCAGCATCCTTTATCCTTTCATAAATGTTCATTTTGTTTGGGTTTTTTTCTTTGTAGAACCTGATTTGCATTCTTTTTTGTTTCTATAAACACGTAAAATTACCCTATTTTATAGACATATAAGTTGCTTAAGTCAACTAAAAATATTAGATCTGTTCAGTACACTCAGGATAAAACAGTTGTATAAGCTTTAACCCTTTGTGCCAGTCTCTGTTTATTATCCTTACTTATTTAACTCAAAAGCTGAAATAACTTCCTTGTCCTGAGCCATGCACTTCTGACCCAGCTTTAGTATTTTCTGTTGGCATTCACACTGTTTTTTCAGCACATTATAAGTGGGACTGGAAGCATGTCCTGTCATTTACCACACACTCTGCTGATTTCAAAGACTTACAGCTTAGCCAAATTTCATCTCTTTGGAATAAAATAATATTATGATCCTTCTGTCTGACCTAGGCTGGATTCTTTGACAAAATTTCAGCAAGGGTGATTGAGTCCTGTAGTGTGCATTTTGAAAAGTACTGGTATAATTGTTGTGAATATCGTCACCTTTTCTTTTCACTAAGGCATGGGCTATGGCTTGGACTAAGCTACCTTTGCATCCAGCCACAAGCAAGATAAAGGCAGCCTGCATAAGGCTGTCTGTCATCTCAGTTGGATCTGCTGTTGAAAGTCAGACCACTGAGTGCTAATATATGCCAGTGTAGGTGGTCAAAGCGAGGAAGCAGACCAGCTAATCTTATTTTCTCCCATGGCTGCTCTCCAGCTGGAGTCTTATAGTCACCAGGATAGGAGGGCAAGACTGATGTAGAAATAAGTCCTCTTCCTACAAATGTGCAGCCAGTGTAAATCAGTTGGTCCCAAGTCTGCAACAGAGCTGTGCGAAACAATTCTTATCTAAGAAAATTTGCCCAGTTTTTGCTGTGACATGTATGCACTGCTGCTCAGTGGATGAAGCCTTCAAGGAGCATGGCAGGGAGGCCACAAGTGGCTACAGAAAATTTTCATGTGATCAGCTGAAAGGAGAGGAGTTAGGGACTTGAGCACAGACCTCAGAATGAAAAAACGGCACCAAGTGACTCAGGGATAAGACAGGTCAGATGTCTGTGTACAGAATGTATGTGAAATTACATTAGATATCAGGAAGAAATTTTTTACTCTGAGGCTGGTGAGGCACTGGGACAGGTTGTCCAGAAAAGCTGTGGCTGCCCTGGAAGAATTCAAGGCCAGGTAGGATGGCCCAGTGGAAGGTGTCCCTGCCCAAGGAGGGCAGGTTGGAACTAAGTGATCTTTAAGGTCCCTTCCAACACAAATCATTCTATGGTTCTATGATTCAGATAACAGAGAAAGGGGTTGGACCAAAGCAAAATATTACATAAAGTGTCAGGAGTGACTGATGCTGGACCATTACTTAAACCAGATTTTTCACAATATTTCAGTAAATATAATAATTTCCTGTTTTCTAATTTCAGAGTGGGATGTTTGGCTTGTGGAAATGGTAAGTCACTATATCTAACCAAACTGAAAAGGGTTTTTATGGGTGCAGGGATGCCATAGAATCTCCATCAAGATTTGTTTCATCTTTAGCCTGTAAATAGTAATAGCGCCATAATTACCCACATGATGAGACTTTTTGAGAAAAATTGGTCAAGCACTCAGATGCACTGCTGGCAGGGCAGGGTTTGTAGGAGTCACTGCATGGCATGCACTTGCAGATGTTGTATCTCTATCTTATGACACTGCAGCAGTTGCATGCTCTCCCCACTGCTGTTACAGCTACCAATGAGCACCCGAAGGGAACCCGAAAATAACTGACTGCCTTCAGGGAAGGCATGAAAAGCATGCTCTAAATACAGTCTCACAGCACACACACTGAGCAATGAGGGGACAACAAATGCAGAACAAAAGCTCATGAAGTGAGGATTGTCCATGAGGTACGATGGATGAGGAAGGGCTCTGTGCACAGCTAGATGTTAGTCATGAAGTTCAGGACTGTACCAGAATTAATGCAAAAAATGAGCCAGATCAATGACACCCGAGCCATGTTTTCTAGCATTTGAGTGGCTGATTCTGAAAACCTTAATGAAAGCTTCTCTTTATATGTATGTGCATGTATTTATGAAATGAAGTACTTCACTTGGTCATTTTTCTAAGATACTTTTGTTCCTTACTTTTTGCATATATTCATTAATCTTCATTTTTATTTAAAATTAAATGCAAAAAGTATTCTGGTATCAATGATAATGGTGCTTTATTAAAGACTATTATCTAAAGATGACGCCCGATAATTATCGTGTCTGCATTCATTGTGGTGGCATCATAATACTGCAATTATTGGATATAATAAAAGGTATTAGCTCTCAGTGTAAATCTCACCCCAATCCAAGTAACCAATTTGGCTCATTGATTCTTCCTACCAGAAGTATCCATTCACCAATGATTTCCTGTAAATCTAAACCATGATAATGAGACCAGACCATGTTCATTATTTTTTACCTTCATCCAAAGCAATGTATCAAGGATACATTTGACCTTATTATCTTTAACTCAGTGTTAAATTTATAATAACATTCATGAAGATGTTTAACTCCAACACATGACACCAGACCCAGATTTAAACCCTTAGTGAAAAAAAATCAACACATAATTATTTTAGGAGTTCAGGCTGTTGCAGAAAGCTTGCAAAATCAGCCTATAACTAGAGGAGACATTTTTAAAATTCAGAGAACAAAAGTGAATGTTAGTGTAAAAAAAGCATTTTAGTAAAGCCAAAGTGTGGTAGATGCAACTACCAAAATGCTTTTTGAGTAAGACAGATAAGCAAGATTTGGTGTTTCTGTTTATTGGGATTGCGTTGATTAATGTAAGAGGGGTTTTGGAAAAACCATGTAAGAGATATTACATTTAAACAGGAAACAGATGGCCCTTTACTGGGCATGCAGGTGAGGAAACAGTGGCTTCCTAATTTCACTGAGCCAGCAAAACAAGAAGAAACGTAATGCCTTCTTTGTTCCCTTCAGTCCAGTATACCCTGGATTAGATATTACTTTTTAGCTTTTTAAAATGTCTTTTAACTTTTTTACAGACACTCGTAACATGATTGTGCTCTGACCATGGGCTCATTTCTGATGAGTAACCTTCCAAATTGTGTATTTTCAGAGATGCAAACTATTCCTGCTGAATTACATGTGGTGGTACTACAGCAAACAACAGAAATCTGTGCAAAGTCAACAATTTGCAAGGCATGATGGGCCTGAAAGAAACCACAATAATTTATAGAATGTATTAAGACTGGATTGCAATGAAATTTATGATAGGCAGACGCACAATAATGAAAAAACCACAAAGATTAATTAACATAAAAATTCTAGCTGTCATATTTCTTTAAGTAGAAATAATTACAAGGCAATTTTATTTCACTGAATGAACCTCCAAATGGGCACAGAGTAAAGTCAACATGAAAATGAAAGTCACCTTTAGACTAGCAAAAGAACAGGTCACAAACTATCTGGGTGGGCTTGTAGTAATGCAATTTCTTTGTAACATGGAGCTGCACTGTTTGTTGCAGTATGAAGTTAAGGACATAAAAAAATTGAAAGGATTTTTAAAAATCTATTTTCCTTGCCTTTTTGGAAGTATATAAAAAATAAAAAAGCAGCCTTAAAAATAAATGTATGAAGAAAGGAGAGATTCTTTTTTTCTTTTTAATGACAGAGGAAGATTCTGTATGAAGAATATTATAATCCTGATTTGTATAACAGTATATAAACATATATATACCCTACACAAATATACAAAAATCAAGCACAAAAGGCCACATCTTAGGTACAAAGTGGAATGACAGTCAAAAAAGAATTTTTCCCAGAATTTTGAGTTTAATCTCCTACATTGCTCTGAATGAGGAGGTACCACACTGAAGTCAATAAAGTCCCATCTCTGACACTGAGTAAGGGGGAAAGATGAATATATTCCTTCAGCTGACCTGGAAAACAAAATGTGAATATCTTTTTTTAAGTCACTCTGCATCTGTAACCTGTGACTACTTTTGTTTTATCAGATATGGCTGATGACACTGAAGTGGGAAGTGGAATGTTTTATAGAGAAAATGTCTGTGACAGAGCACTGGGGAGCCTGACCTGTACGCCCTGCTTTCATCCTCTCTAATTAAGCTGGAGCAGATACATTCCTTGTCAAAATGGACAGCTGGTGGCAGATCCAAATGAATTTTCACATATTTCTGATGATGTACAATACAGTCTTGTTGTTTATGCAGCATCATGCTGTATGCCAACATGATGCATCATACCATGTGAGACTGGCAAACTTACAAAGGAGAGCAGGAACAATTTTAATAGCTTTCTTTCAGATTGGATTGTACGTATCTGATCTAAATGTTAGGTGATTTCTCTTGAAGTACATATCAGTAATGGTTGATGATTTAAACATCTCCAAATACTTTTAATCTTCAGATATCTGTGTGCCAAGTTCTTTTTAGTGACTATAATGGATTTCAATGTTGAGAGCAATGATGAGGGTGGGGTTTTCATATACATGCAGCGCCAAGCTTCTTGAATGCCCTTTGAAATGTAGTAGAACAAAGATGCTTTCTTCTCTGATTTAGCCAAATGGAAGTGAGGGTATATTTACATTTAGACTCATTTGAGGATATATTTCTTCCTCTGCATTGTATCTATAATATTATAGTTAGGAAATCCAAACGGGCTTTACCAAAATCCATTTTTCAACTCATTACATTAACTATCTCATTAATTCTTAGCTAGTTTTTCTATACATAAATATTTAGATTGGAATCCAGTTCCCAAAATTTTCACCCAAAATTTTTCTCTTCTATTTGTATTTTTATATTTCTGACCTTTTTTCATTTATATAAATTTGATTAAAATGTTAATATTTCTAGTAAAAGGAGAGAAGGACTGTTGTCTTGCGGCTAGACCACAAGGCAAAAAAGAGAAGTGTGTATGTACAAAGCTTCTGGTTTTGTAACTTAGGCCCCCTCACATATCTGTTCCATTAGCATTGTTTCCCTGACCTATCATGGACCTCCAGCTTCCTCCTCTTGGATTCTTATCCTGTGAGTTGCACTTTCTTGGACTTCATTAATGTCACTTAACTGTTTGCAAGATTCATCTTGTATTTATTCTCTGCATTTTGGACTTCAAATCAGGAGTCAAAGATATTTACTCTTTGTTCACAATGGGGTTCTTGAAGTTCTCCAGTGTTTCTCCAGTCTAGGGTGTTAGTATCTGCATTACAGAACTGTTGTGACATTTCAGTAATTCATTTTTGTTATTCAAGCATATATGAGAGCAATGATGATGCCCCCTCATATGCGTGCACCTGAAGACTCCATCTTCAAACAACAGATCTGCACAAAAAGATCTGACATCTTGTATGACATTAAAGCAGCAAGGCAGCGATCTGTGTGTAAAGTGCCACATTTTCAAAGTCACCTCACCAATCAGCAGTTCCTAAAATTTGGCCTCAATTACATGAACTGAGCTCTTTGAAGGACCGTCCTGTATTTTGTTGAATGTGCACATTAATCAAACATGGAGAGTGTGGCACGCAGACAATACTTTGTTCTGTAAAAATGTATCTGTGCTGATAATGCCTGAATTTGTTTTGCTCTGAACCAGCTGTGAACTCACACTGATGAGTGTGAAGTAGGTATGAGATTATGCCAAATCAGAAGAGTCTTTATTTTATATCCACTTTCAACCAGTGATGAACCTATGCAAGGAATAAAAATACGTGTGCTCTTACTAATCCAAATCTTGCATATGGTTACAAGCCTGAGCATTTGTAGAAGGATGAAGCATGGTGGAAGGCTGTGCAGGTCTGTGCTACCACTGCTCGATGCAGGGCTCAGCAGCTGAGCAGCTGAACAAAGCCAGCCTGTTCTGAAAGAGAAGAAGCAGTGGTTACTTAAAATGAAAAAGATAAATATCATGAACAGGTTCCTTAGGGCAAGCTCGGGGTAGAGTCAAACAGCCTTGTAAGTTGCAGTAAATAAAGGAAATGTCATTTGTAAGTCTTATAAACACAATACCATTATTAACTTCAGTAATAAATAAAATGTGCTGTACTATCTGCAATGGTTACACACATTGAGACAATTATTTTTGGTGACTAGTTGTAAAATTTCTGGTGCATTGTGAAATAACAGCTGAAATAGCTGAAATAGAGGGTCTGGGTAGTGATGAGCCTTTCCTTTCTCCAGGCTTCCTTTCACTGCCTATTGTTCAGCAATTTTTATAGGCCTTGTAAAAACTGGAATTCCCTATCGTACTAATGAGACATTAATATGCAAAATGGGGTGATACAAAAAGCAATATTTTTATGAAATGAGCTATATTCCTGTAATCCTCACAACAGCAATATTCCTTGATCATATCTGCTCCATGATTTTACCTTGCCTGACATTGGATTTGTGATGTGGTAAAATTAATGCATTAAGACAATAATTTAGCTAAACTGTCCAAGAATGTGCAAATCAACTAAAACTGAAATATTAATCTTCTTTTATGTTGTGTGTCATTTTATATATATATAAACTTGTTCTGGTTATTTGCTTTCAAAATATGATTCTAGGCTTTAATGCCAGAAATAAGGGGAAGTCGTGAATGTTGACAAAAATATATCCAAGTATACTCAGAAAAATTAAGAGGGAATTAAACAAATTAAAGCTTGGTAGTGATTTGTAAACTGCATTGAGCAATTCAAGAAACCCTGAAAATAGAAGCAGCAGTGGCATATGAAGTATTTGAACATTTAGTCTTCTGTGGCTGTGCCATCAAAGTCCAATACAAACAGAGTATGCTGTACCTGGAGAATCACTTGGTGCAAAAACACTATATATTTAGCAATCTAGATGTTCAGTTATGATGAATGTCAACAAAAGCATCCACAAGAATGACCCTCCTGACTGCACTTCAAAATCTTGCCAAGAAATGTATTCCCTATACTGTCATAAACAATCTATTTGTCTTCATTGTCTACTGATAAACATTTCCTAGACATTCTTTTGAAGCACGCAATATTGACATGCACTGAAATAACAATAGGTAGTCTAAAATATATAAAGTCCATTTGGGTTAACTCTTATGTTCAATGTCTACTTTTCTATTAAAGTAATTTTTAATTGTCATAAGAAGTCATCAAATGCTGTGAAGTGCTTTGGGTGTTTAACTTTAGAAACACAACCGTGTTATAGCAGCACTATCATTTTCCAATTTTGACACAGCTGTCTTGTGTGCAGGTGATACTCCTAAACTGGCAGCATAGTCTGAAAAAAATCCCTCCCCAAAAAGAACATTGTTTCATTATGCACCAGTCATAAAGTGTCTTTTTGTTCTTTAGCTGAACTGGTAGCATTTGAGTCAGGACATCCTGCCAGTTATTAGTAAACTGATCTATAGTCTCTAAGAGCCCTGCATCTCTAAACATATCAATCAATTTTCCTACTTTTATTAACAGCTATACTGGCCATGTTTACAATTTCAGGAATGTTTACTGAATTAAGCATAGTTGTCATGCAGATAATAGTATTAAACCATTGGTATTAATATCGACTCACTACAGTTCCCAACCATACTTTTAATGCATGGTATCTTACCACAGCTAAATAGAACATGTTAAAAAGTTACTATAAATGTGGATTAATCATATTGTGCTATATTTAACTGATGTCTATGTCAAACGGGTGTTTCAGAAGAAAAAAGAAAGCGATTCCACATGCATTGATGTTTCATCTCGGATTAGTGATGCGTCAACAGTCGTGGGACACTTTCTAAATAAAAAATTCAAGGCTTTTTTTATGTTGAAGGTTTTCTGAACATGTATTGCATCTTGGCCAGTACATAAGAGTGACTTAACTTCTACCACATCCCTTTTACAGCTTGAAAGGGTTAAAAAAACTGGCACATATATATTAGTCATAATTATAAAGGCAATTGTGTAAGCCAGGCACTGGGGCTCTGTGTCCTTACTAGACTACTGTCACTAACTCTGATAATACCCAGAAATAAAGGTGTGTTTGTGACTATTATAATACAGGTATGTTTAGAACAATTTACAAAGAGGTAGGAATAATAGAGTTGAGATTCATATTTTTTCCAGACTCAGAGAAAGAAAGAAGTGATGAGAGAAACAAACAAAAATTCAGTTTTGTTTCTCTTCACCTGGTAAATTAGAAAGGCTTGTTTCTAAAAACATCCATTTTTCCAATACTGTGTACAATATTAATTCTAAGATACAACATCTCTCTGAGTTACAGTAGCTGAATTATGCAGTGTATTCCCAAATAAATACTCAGAGCCCCAGCACCTGCTGCTTGAAATCTGTAAGGAAATGCATTTGTGAATAAGGTAAAAATGTCTTAGGAAAACTGGCAGTATCACCGAAGAATCTTCAAGATGTAGGGAAAAGTGTGTCATTTTCTCACCAATAATCTGCACTTTTATCTTACATGAAACAATTTTTCATAAAAAAAGTCTGTACTCCTTGTATTTGATAAAGAAGAAGAATTAGAGGTAGGTCCAATTTCCTTTTGAAAAGCAGGCTTCTTCTGCTTTAGATTGGCCTTTTCTGTACCCTCTATACAAGAAGACAGATAATAAATATAATGATTTGTATTGAAAAGAAAACTGTAAGGATAATGGCCCAAACAGTGTAGTTTTTTATAATGTTACCATAGTAAATAATAGCAGCATAGTTTATATGGTTATACTTATGGCTGCATCCATGTTTCCATTATATGTCCTGTTTTTCTCAAGTTTATAATTTCATTTTTATAAATTTTCCCTTGGATGAACTGCGACATAGAAGATTTCAACAAGGAATGCTTTTGCTTTAATTAAAAAAATAATCATTTTTTGGCTAGTCTCAAGCCATCTGTTAATCAAAAAGAACAATTTACTTGTTTATAACAATGTTTTGCACCATCTAACAGAAAAAAACCCTAACTTCAAATGAAGTAATGAAACGAGGCAATTGATTAACCTATAGCAAACTGTCATCAGTCTTGATTGTGAAACAAGTTTTTTTTCTCATCTGCTGAACGCACTTTTGACTACACATACTAATACCTCCTCCAAGCCCCCATTCTGCAGTCAAGCATATGCTTAAACTCCCTCTTCAATAGGAATGCTTTCCAGAGCTCAGGCCCTAGAAATATATACATATTTAATTAGATGGTAGTGCTTGAAGATAATTCAATCTTCTCCAAGCAGCATGTGGTTTTACTGACTTCTGCATGTCTAAGAGCAAAGTATTTTTGTGTCTGTGTATTACCAATCAAATATAGCTTTCTTCCTTCCACACTGGTCCTGTATCTTGATGAACTTATTTTCTAAACAAGGAAAGGTGAAGGTACCCCTGAATATCTTCTTAATCTTACAATACTTCTGCAGACAGCACTAATTTCAGTAAGTATTTTACATTGCACGGCCTGAGCAAAATGATGGCTTGTTTACCATGTATTCATTTGATTGGTCTATGTCATAGCTCTGGAATTACTTAAATGCAGAGGAGTGTGTTAATAGGGAATATTATTTATTAAACACAATGGCAATTGATTTATTTTACTACATATTAATATACTATAGTGTTTCACAGTACTATGCTGATCTATTTTACTTTACGTGATTAGTGACATAATTTATTAGTGACAGAATTTAACACTCTAAATATAAAAATTACATTTAATCATTGAATAACAATATATAAATATCAGAGGTGCAATATTTAAAGCAGCCATGTTTAGGAAATTTGGAAAAGATGTCTGGAAAAGATCTCCTGTGAGCAAGTCAAAAACCAAACCAAACCAAAATGTCAAAGGCCCCCAGGAAGAGCCACCGATTATTACTCTGCAACAAGCTTTCTAGTTTCTATTTTTTAGAAAGGGAAATACCTTCTGTGGAACCCAAAGACTCTCTGCAGCTGCTGAGACCACCATGGTCTTCTGCAAAGCAGAGGTGGGATAATCCTGATGAGGGGAGGTGGGATAATTCTGCTGTCATAGGCAGGGGAAGCAGCATTGTGCACAGACTTCTCAGTGCTCCATGGATTATGAGGTTTCTGTCTGTGAATTTACATTCAGGGTGCTGGATGAATTCTGTTCTAAAAATAGGATTCAGTTTTTATTCTTTCATCCTGCACACCAGACTCATTCTTGGCCTTTATCCTGCACTAGAGCATCTGCACTTACTCATATTCAGGGGAGCTGCTGCCTTCCCACTGCTCAAGGACGCTCCATGCCAAAAAAAGATGGTTTATACCAACTGCTGGTGTCTGTAGCTGGAGATTCAGGGTGAGTGGAAGGGACAATGCAAAGCTATGGAGCAGCAATATGGGGGCATCACTAGGCCATGGGATTCCCCTCACACAGTGACATTTCTCATCTCACCTTCTTCCTCCCTGCTTGCTCTGATGTGCAGTCCCACACACTGAGAATCTGATAACTAAAGAGAGCACTGTGCTAGGGACATTACAGCTAAAAAGAGAACACTAATAAAGCATAGGAGCTTCCATATTACCACTTGCCTGCATGATAAACAGCTCTACAAATGTTAATTTCTGCAATGTTACTAGAAGTACAAACAGTACATATTGCTTCAATGCTGTTGCACACGGCTTGTGCATTTAGGGGGAATGTGTTTAGTTTTTCTATTTATTTACTAGGGACACAAATTTTAACAACATGAAATATTTTGCTTGTATGATATGAACACCAATAGTTTAACATAAACTATGGAAGGAATCCAGGCTGTGTTGACATATTTTATGAATGTTATGGGATGCCAGATTGGAGGTGTACATCTGTGTGGGTTGGCCAGTCATCCCACTGCCGTCTGTGTATCTGTATGCTTAAATGAATTAGCTATTATAAAAACACTGCATAAACAAGTTTAATGCTGTACACTTTCCTTTTGCTGATCTAAATGTATCTGAATTGCAGCAAAGCAAGCTAACAATGATATTCAATTACTCTTTCACTACTCTCACGTAAAAGTTGGAAAGATGTGCACTTTAAACGGTTTCATCTCCAACACTGATGGAGTCCCTTTGACTCCATCTCCCTCCATGTCATTGGCAGCAATCTTCTTGCAGCCCCTCATGGCAGGAAGTACCACTGCATAATCCTGCAGTCAAAATCATTACCCAGTGACTGCCATCCACAAGGTCATTCAAGGTTGCAGAAATCCCTTCCAACCCGCTCAGCCTGGAGCAATGACTGCCAGAAAGCAGCACCAGATTGCCCTGCTACCAGTGCCAGGATACCAATATAGAAGTCAGGAGCTGTGAGATACCTTAGGGATTCCTCATACCTGAGGCCATCGCGCTGGCTATAAAGTCACACATGGGAATTGTAAAGAAATCACAAAGAAATTTTTTTCTCCTGGTTATATGCTATAACCACTCTTTGTTGCTACTTTATTTTTGCACAGCACATAGCAACAAAGGCTTTGGGTTCAATTATTGTAACATTTACATTTGCCAGAGGATAAACATAGGAACCTTAGTGCTCAACACACTCGGTTAGAAGTGGGATACTCAGCACTGAGACAAATCACAGGGGAACAGGAAAATCAAGTAGTTTCTATCTTGCTGTATGAATAAACATTTAGTAGCTTGACTTTATGCATCTTGTTCTTAATATGCTGGTCAAATGAAATAAAAAAAGGATTAGAAGTAAAGTTTCTGTGTTTACTTAGAGAATTTGATCTTTGAGACAAATTTGAAACAATAAAACATTTTGAACTTTTTTTCAGCTAACAGTTTGTAGGCTAATTTTGAATTTGAATTCGTTCCAAGCATGATAGCTTAGATTTGCCCCAGATGGACTTTCAGTTCTGTTCAAATCGCTTGACAGCACCATAACAGCCATTTGTAACTAAGTCTGTAGAAATGGGCTGGCACTTGCAGCCTACTAGTGTTGCTGATCTTTTTGTATGGGAAAAGCACCCATAAATCACAGTGCATTAAAAAGACATACACATCTCAAGCAAACATCATGGAGGATCCATTGTCCTGTAGATAAGTATACAAATAAGTGCAAAGCATCACTTAAATTTTATATAAGGCATATATTTTTTGGAAGGCAACCAATGCAGTTTCACATGCTGTACTTTTTCTAATCTGACTGACTCACAGTCTTGTGATAGTGAGATAAGCTAGGTAGGCAAATTTTTACAGAGTTGCAATTACTGAAATTGTCATTACGCTGCTCACTGTAAAATAAATATAGATAGAAGTGAAATTATGCACAGGCTAGAAGTAGAAAGTGTTTTGCTTCTGTTTGCTAAATTAATCTCTTCCTAAATGGCTGCAGGCCAGGTAGGTTAGCATTTGTGGTTTCAAAGGTTTTCAGCGCTTGCAATGAGCCATGAAATTACTGCATGCTGCTGAAAATGGCAGCTGATGAAAGGAAAAGAGTAAATCCCAAAGGCAGAAAGACAGGAGGAAGCAAAATTACAGGCAGAAAGTCTGATTTTTGATGTTGCTCATTGTGAAATGTACACCCAAACTTTTAATAAAACATAAAACATTAATAAACCTGCTAACAATTCCTTACAATTTCTTTTGAAGTCTCAGTATAATTTCTGAATACTTATTAAAACAGGCAATGATTCAATGGTGGCTGAGCAGTTTCTGTCTGCTGGATATGGTATATTGGTATACTAGTGACTTTTGAAATTAGATTTTTATTGATGTTTTTTAATTGAATTATCCAAAGGATTGATGTTTTCTGTTAATAATGTGACCCTAAACTCTTGAATTGTTGATCAAGTTTAACTAATATTAAATTAGATATTCAATGGCAAAACACACTGTATGATCAATGCTGCTTCACCATTCCAAATCCTCTCAACTTGGTTGAGAAAATAAATGTGGCTTCAGCTAATCATATTGCTGACAGCTAGTTTATTATAATAATCACATGTATATGCCACAAGAATGACAGTGTTACTTCTGGGAGGGGACAAAACAATGATTTTTAAGCACTAAGAAAAAGAGGATACTAGAAGAGGAATCATGCACAGCAGTAGCTGGGATACTTTAACTTAGTACCATTTTAGTTTAAAATAAACATGCAAATGACAAGCCCTTTGGGTCAGTATCATGTGATCAATTCTTTGGCTGCAATATCTACTACTTTCAAAGACTCACAATGTTGTAGGATCATTTGTAAGTTCTTTGTAATTATTAAAACACAGTTTTTGATAGAAGAAGCTTGTTGACAAAAAAAAAAAAAAAAAGACAACAATTTTCAAGGACGTAACATTAAGAAATTGTGTTTATATTTAAAAATACTGAACAGAATAATTAATTATCCTAGAATATGGTTATCTTCTCAAGGGCTCTGTGCAGGCAGATAACTTGCTTGCTGTGATCAAACCCAATGTACTTTGGGATACTTCCTTGCAGAAATAAGCCTGCATCCAGTATTGGAGACTGAAAGAGCTTATACCTTTCTGATATTATTGGTTGTGTAAGGCAGTGTCTTTTTGTGGGCCCTGTAAATAGACAGATTTAAAACAGGCCAAACAAGCAGGCAAGAACTGAATTCACTACTGTGTCTATGAAGCATAGAAATTAAGGCTACATCCCAAAATTTCATTGATAGAGAGAAGTGATTTTAGAAATTTCTTTACCTTAACACAGTACCGCTGACCTGAATCATCTCCAAAATTTTTGTGTTTTGTAAGACATTGAAATTGTCTGCAGTTAAAGGTGGCCACTGGGAGTGCGGTATAGGATGTGGGGTGAGGAGAAGGTATTTTGGCAAAGGAACCTGGTCAAAGGCACTTCTGGAATGTCACAGGCTTCTGGGGTCTGTTGACTTTTAATTACCCACCTAAGGAAGAAACACACAGAAAATTACATCCAGGCAATCACACTGTAATTTGAATGAAGGCTTAGAAAAATCATAGCCTGCCTGAACTCTGTTGCCACTGTATCTCACACAGCAGAGCTGCCGTGGCCAAATATCTTCCAAATAGAAGAGTACAGAGGGCAGGTAAAACTGCAGGAGGAATGTCACTGGTAAGAAGAAAGCAACTGCTAAATTGGAATCACAAGCATGTACATGCACACAAATTGGGATTTTGCGTGCATAAGTTCAGTATGTGCTAATGCATGTGCAAAATGTCACGCCCTTATCTATTCAGTTGCTCATTCATACCACACTAATCACTGTCTCAGCACCTAATTTTGAAGACTATAAATATTTTATTATCCACACAAAAATCAGAGGTGGAAACTGAGCTCAAGCTGTGCCCTGAGGAAAATAAAGCAAATTGTGCCACATAATAAAAGATAGATATACAAAACCATTGCATGGACATAATTCATATTCATATTGAGGAGTCCTATATTAGACCTAGAGTAATCATATTATTCATTATATACTGTATGCTATAGAAATAAAAATTGTGTACTACATACATATATTGTAGCATAAGAAGCATTTTAATTATGGTTTTACTAAAACTTGAAACATAGAACATGCTTACCTCTCAGTGTGATGGGAAGAATTTACTGCTGCACTACAGAAAAAGATAGCACAGCACATGTCCAACATTTAAAACCAAATTGTGTATACTCAATCTATGTTCTCCCTTACCAGACTGAAGGAATCTTATAACCCTGTAACAGAAGACAAACAATGCACAAAGAATAGCACTGAGCTCAGTGAAAAAAAAACAGAATCAAAAAAAAATTTGAAGCTGTCTTAAAGACCCAGGGATAATTCTGATTTTTAAAATTTTAATAAACAAGCTGTGCAAAGAGAAAGAAAAGAAAGAAAGAAAGAAAGAAAGAAAGAAAGAAAGAAAGAAGAGAGAGAAAGAGAGAGAGAGAGAAAGAGAGAGAGAGAGAAAGAAAGAAGGAAAGAAAGAAAGAAAGAGAGAAAGAGAGAAAGAGAGAAAGAGAGAAAGAAAGAAAGAAAGAAAGAAAGAAAGAGAGATAGAGAAAAAGAGAGAGAGAGAAAGAGAGAAAGAGAGAAAGAGAGAAAGAAAGAAAGAAAGAATCCCAGGAATAAATGTCTGTTTAAGAATACTTGAGAAAAAAAAATTAATTGAGAATAAAAGAATACTCATGAGTTTTGGGCTGAATTCTGCTTAAGTCCCATTTAAAAAATAAAAATACCATTAGAAATTAAGAGAAAGACATCTACAGCTGAGGCAAACTAAATGCTTGCAGTGTCACTCTTTCTTCCTAGTCATGTAGAAGAGAAGTTTTGGGTGGATGCTCCATAAGAAAACAATGTTATGTGTGATATGTAAAGATGTAGAGATATGGATTATTTGGTGGATTATCCGGTAATGGATGCATGGGGAATACCATGGGCAGAGAAATAAATTAATTCCGTATGTAGAGCAATGCACAGAGTGGAAATATAATGCAGGCAGGACTTGTAGAGGAAGTTACAATTTATGTGCAGTTTCTGTGAGAAAGAAAAGGGGCAGAAGGAAAGAAGGCACTTAAATCACTCATCAGGCCGTGCACTGTCTCCCTCAATCAAGAGAAAATAGTTCTAGCTCCCAAAACTGCCACTCTTTGCTCCTGAGAGAGCATTAGGTGAAGTTGGTTAGTTCATCAGATTAAGCATGAGTTAAAATTTTGTGTGAATGTTGGATGGGTAAACTGGACAGTCAAGCTTGCCCATAAGTGTATTGCTACTGAAGATTTAAGTCTGATGTTATACATTCTTTATTACCACCAAGTAAATAATTAAATATAATGATTACACCATGAACATACACATCATGCAAAAGTAAATAGATCTATACTGCTGTGAATTGAAGCATTCTGCAATTCTGCCAAAATGATACGAAGCATTTTCCAACTAGATTGCCATTTTTCTTTTTTTTTGTGGGCTAACACAATCCCTCAGTGGGATTCATTTTGAAGATGGAGAGGTTTGACTAAGTGATTTGATGAAAAGTGATTAAAATCAAACCTATTTCTTCTTCTGTAGCAGGTGGAGTTTCGTAGCAAATGGCTCCATAGAAACACGGATTTATTTCATTTTATTTGACCTCCTCTCTCTCATGCACTGGATTAGAAATGAAAAAGAATCTCAAAAGAACTGCCATGACCTGTACAGTTTCACCTTGCAGTATGCCCAAGGAAGCTCGAAGATCTCCATTTTGCCCTACCGTAGTTATCTTTGAAAAATTATTATTTCCTGTGGGAAGCAGATTTCATTTGTTCCTGTAGGATACAACCTTTCTTTCTTCATTGCTCTTGATCTTTCTTCATCTATTGTTACTAACACAATTCAATTTGTTTAGTTGTAGATATTTTGCAGCAGAAATTGAAGTTAAATGTAGAAACCTTAGTGAAATGATACAGCTTTCCGCCATACGAATAAAAAAATTCAGAAGATTTTGGCATCACAGAATTTGAAGCTGAACCATTTTTTTACTCTTGCACAAGATTGATAATATGTGCCCAGATGACATCTTCGTCTACCAATGTATGTATCTATCTTTGTCTACCTGTGAGTGTCCTTAAAGCTAAGGTGTTATAGGCTTGGTGCAAACTATTGCTGAAACACCGAGCCTCAAAGTGTCAAGGACTTTGGTGAAGGGCCACAGGAATAAATGATAATGTAGATCTCACCTGGTAGAGAGATAAAAAGCTTTATTTCTTCAGTTCATCAAAGAGAAGGTGAAATAAGTAACTTGATTAGAGCCTGCAAGTAAGTGCTCAGGCAGAAGGTCTCTGCTTGCAGAAGGCTCTTTTTACCTTCAAGGAGGGAACAAGACTCAGTATATGGCAGGTAAAGCCAGAAAAAATTCAAGTAGAAATGGCATAATTGTATTTCCATAAACACTGGAAATAGTTAAGTACAAGAAGTTTTTACCTAAGGACGTGATGTCACTAGGAATGCTACAATTGAAATCTTTCTAAAGGCTACATTACATCAAAAATGCATGGGAAGCAGTGAAGTTATAGGTTCTATTTTATGAAGAGTGTCAAGTTAAATTACCATTGTGTATCTTCTATTCTAGTTCAAAAAAAAAAAAAAGCAGATCTATGGACAAACAAAAGAACAGGTGGCGGTTATAACAGACAAATCAGAGACAAAAATTAGGCAAGCCAAGCCAAACCATTGTAAATTCCTCTTGTTGATTATTCAGGCCACATGTTCTCCTTTCAAAATTTGCCAAATCATTTGTGCTCACATAGGAGCCCATCATACTCAAACAGATCACATTTTGCCACTCATAAAGGTAGTGGCCTTTTGAACTGTTAAAGTGATATTTAGTCAATAGAACAGACAGAAGTACATCCCCAGTAGGGAAGTGCATCAGGCTAGAAATGAGTAAGGCCCCTCTGTTTCTGCAAGCAGTAGCACACCTGGGAGGGAGATAGCCAAGGCACATCCAGCTTCAGTCCAAAGAGCCAATGGAGCCAGACATCAGCACAAGTCTCAAGCAAAACTTCAGCTCAGACATTCCTTGTGATATCCCTCAGCTGCACTGTTATCTCTGTCCACCAAAACTGTATGAGGGAAGATGAAACTGGCTGGAGATGTTTCAAGTTGTCACCTTCCACACAGTTATTCTGCTCCCAGTGACCCGTACATGCTGCCACTGCTGGGGAGCTGCTTGGCAAAGCTGCTACTCTGGGGAACAGTACTAAGTACTACTGGTAAAGGCAGCCCCAACTAAAGGTCTACCTTCATCTGAAACACAAGCATGAAGACATTCTTAAGATTCTCAAAACAAAAAAATAACCTAAACTCATGATTCCACTGATAATGCCTTCCCCCCCCCCCCCCCCCGCATACACACTAGTGACAATATTATGTCAAAGGAAATGTTTAATTTTTTTTTTGTGCATTTCCTCCAGATACTGACTTTGGTGTTGCTCTCTCAGTGCTGCGTGCAGGAGCACAGCAGGCTAAAGCTGCCCCAGCTGCCTCTGGTGAGCAAGCAAGGACTCCAGGAGGCTGAGGATCCAGCCTGCTTGCTCAGGGCTTTGAAAATTGCCAAGCAAGGGATGGTTTTGTTATCTTGACTTGTGTTTCCAAAGGCCCTCTTCTACTGAGCAGACATCACTACCTTTTGTTGCATTTGTTTCTACTCAGTTTACCAGCCTCTGTTTTACCACCTGCCTGGGTCATGGCCACTGAATGAGTGAGTGGAAAGTGACAGACTCATGTATGCATTCAACACATGAGAAAAAGGGACAAACCCCAAGCAGGACTTGGGAAAAGGCATATTCAAAAAGCATTCAGAAAGGTTAAACACAGGCAAATGGGGAAACTACATCTGCTTTTGTCAAACTAAAGGAACATATGTATAAATTGTCATTTACTTTCAGGCCCCAGTTCTGCTTTTCCTAAAATAATAAATAAAATTTTAAGCATTTATTTATAGAGATATATAAATTATATAAATATATATATATGTGTGTATATATATATATATATATTTATATATATATATTTCCATAAAGATCAGTCCTCTAAATGGTCACCACTTGACATGTCTCCATGTGTCCTTGAGTATGATATTATGTCATCAGGTAAGTGAGTTGTGTTTTCTATAATTCCAGGGGCAAAATTCCTGCTGGTTTTCAGATGATGTAGCCACAGGTATTCTGAGCTTTTCTATCTTTAGCAAAATGATTGCTTTTCATCAATACATTTCTCCAACATGTTCAGACTAAGAAAATAAAAATAATTATGTTGAAATAGAGGGAATGGAGGGAATTCAAGGAGTAGGATATCTGAAAGCTCTGTAATGGAGAGAATGTATCCTTATGAATAGCCTCAGTAGAGATCAATTTGTCAAAACCCAAGAATGACATTCAAAGTATTTAGAAAGACTAT